GGAGGTCCTCTAATTGGTCAACCGGGACAACAATATTTTAAAGCCTGGGCCAATTATTTTGTAAAGTAAGTGTTACCATGCGATTTATTATATTGTTTGGTCAATAATTACCGTTTTCCCGCACAAACACCGGAATACCGGTGTAAAGTGAGGTTGATCAGACTGCCGTTATATCTTGGGTATAACGGAACGGCATGTTGTAATAAGTGAAATCTAAAATATGTTTTTAATATTTTTAAAAAATATTAATATTTTGTTATATAAAGAAATTTAAGGTAAATTGAAACTAAATTTTTTATTAATTCTAACATTTTACTACTTATTTCTGTTGTAAAAATAGGTTTATGCTAGAAAATCAATGTATATAACTTATATAATATAAGTAAAATTAGTACTAGTATTGGTAAGGTTTGACTTTTTCCATGAGTCATGCAACATGATCATTCATAAATATATGCCTCACTTTATACCGCATTCCGGAAAGTTATCATAAAACCATTTTTGAAAAATAATTAACCTCACATATAATGGTGGTTGCTCTGGAATACGGTATTTTCTTGTTTATAAATTATAATTGTATCTTCTGTATAGATTTCTGGACGCATACAAATCAAATGGAATCGAATTTTGGGGGCTGACCGTCCAAAATGAGCCGAGTCATGTGACTAACATGCATTGCAATTGGAACTGTTTGGCGTTTAACGACACGCTAGAACGAGATTTTGTGAAAATGGACCTTGGTCCAGCACTCGAAGCAGCGGGTTATGGACCTGATAAATTAAACTTAATGATATACGATCATGGACCAGGGGAAGTTGGCAAAATGATTAACTGGATTGAGACGAGCTTTAATGACTCAAAAACTGCTAAATATATAAATGGTTAAATATATAACTGGCTAATTAATATTGTGTAAATAGTATCATGATTATTTTTTGGACACTGTTTAAAATAGGAATTGCTTACCATTGCTATGGAAACGGAAAGGTTTGGGATGATTTGGAGCTTCTACACGAGCGATACCCCGATCAGTTTGTGATGTCGACTGAATGTTGCCAAGAGTTCAGTAAAAGAGCCACCCGTACCGTAATGGAGCTAGGTAGATGGGAACACGCCCAAGTCTACGCTAGAGATATTATGAATGTAAGCAATTTATTTAGGACTATGACTAAAACATTTATCATTTGTAAGTCAGTAAACATGAATAGAATTCCTAAAGTGATGCCATTAATTACACTTAGAATTTGCAACATTGGACCCGAGGTTGGGTTGAGTGGAATCTGGTGCTCGACATGTATGGTGAGCCCAATTGGGCCAATATGTCGGCGTTGGCACCGATTCACGTCAACCACACGGCCAACGAGTACTACAAAGACTCGACTTTTTATATTTTGGGACACTTTTCCAAATTCTTAGTCAAAGATTCGGTGAGAGTTGGCTCGAAAGCGGACAAAACGGGCGACAATTTTAGTTACACGGCGTTTGTCAGACCCAATGATAACGCGACGGTTTTAGTCGTCTATAATCTGAAAGATAAACCGCAAGAGTTTATAATTGTTGATAAAAGTGTCGGTCAGATAAACACCCGAATGGAGGCGCGTTCGGTACAGACTTATATCTACTGGGATTAAATGATTTGCAAGTTACATGCCTAAGCTTGGCCAATTTGTCAAATCTTAATTTCATAACAATTTTATAATTTTAATAAATCACACAAATAAATATATTTTGACACAATTTTTCCTAGATTTTTTTGTACACTTTTTTTATACACAGTAATACTAAATAAGTTTATTTGAAAAATCATGGGTTCGACTTTAAAGCCCAGAGAGAGAGAGAGAGAGAGAGCTAGTTATATATTTTATTATTATTAACTTTATACAAACTTATTTATGTGTACATTAACTAATTCTAAATCAATTAATAATTTACTAGTTATAATTGTAATCATACATTAATAACAAAAAAATTTCAAATAAATTAATGTTTTAATCAGTTTCGTGAATTGGTTTTACATGTTATAATCGGTATGATATCCCAACAGTAAATATCGTTACTATAAATACATGTAAATATGTTGGAATAAATAAATATTGTATAATTACAAATCATAGTTGGAAAATTAAATACAATAGTTAAATACAGTATTTTAATATACAGTAGCCTTTCAAATAGCTTACTGAACAATATGCCGGTGCTTAAGGTTAGGCCGATCGGCGCTAAATAAAATTATTGCCCTTAACTGTAACAGAACAATGCATTAATAATTTTCTTAATTAAAGCTACTTATGTGGCCTTGCTACTTGTGTGTCACAAAATGTCGTTTGGGGAATAAAAAAAATCCTATAGAGTTAAACAAAAAATGGAATCTTAACTTAAGATTCTTAACTATAGATATAATTTGTTTTTATGTGAAAATATTTTTTATTGAACAATAGTAAATTTGCACATGTTCATATAGTAAACCGATTCTTTAACATTTATTTTTAATGTTTCAGTACATTACTGTCATGCAGACTATTAATCCGCGTAATTGAGAAATGTTATACAGTCTATAGGGGCCATTCAATAAGTACGTACGCAAAAATTTGTCTAAAAATTAGCTCAAAATATAACTGCTAATAAATTGACCCTGTTCGGCAGTCCCTGGTCATCACCCACTTGGATGAAACACGAGGGACCATATGGCCCGTTGAATGGCGGC